ATATTGTTACAACAATTTATTAATACCACAATACCCTAAAAGTTGTATGAATTCGTTTATTTCGGTCCAGTTTGTGTGTAAGGGCTTCAAGTATATTAGGGACGTAATAGGCAGTAATAGGTATTCCATCCCAACTTAATATTATAAATGCGAAAGTAACTCTGTCTGTCTGTCTGTCTGTCTGTCTGTCTGTTACGCTTTCCCGCTTAAACCTCGCAACCGATTTTGATGAAATTTGGCATAGAGATAGTTTGAGTCCTGGGAAAGAACATAGGATAGTTTTTATCCCGGTTTTTGAAACAGGGACGCGCGCGATAAAGTTTTTCTGTGACAGACAAAATTCCACGCGGGCGAAGCCGCGGGCGGAAAGCTAGTTTTCAATAAAGGAAAGGTTAAACATAACGTAATAAATAACACGTGCGAACATAATAGAGCGAACAAGCGAACCAAGTTTGATTTGAAATAATATAATAGGAAATAATATAATACTATTCTTGATGAAATATGTAAATATAAAAGTTCAAAGCATTGTATTTTACACGTGTGTTATTTGCTACAAAAGTGCTTTTTGAAACGAATATTATTCGATTTTAATAATGTAATATAATTAAATTCAATACAATAATAATGATTCATCATCATCATTCATCATTTTCAGCCATAGGACGTCCACTGCTGAAATAGATCTCCCCAATGATTTCCACAATGGCCGTTGGTGGCGGCCGTGGTGGCGGCCTGCATCCAGCCTTTATGAGGTCGTCAGTCTACCTTGTGGGTAGACGTCCTACACTGCGCTTTCCGGTACGAGGCCTCCACTCCAGAAACTTGCTGCCCCATCGGCCGTCAGTTCTGCGTACTAATGAATAAAATTAATTATTCTACAATCACTATCCTTAAAAAATGTATAACTAATGATGTTGGTTTTGACAGAAAATAGAGATATAGAGCCCCATAAACTGACATAGGTAGAAGGTGCGTAAGCTTCTAATACTATACAAACATTATGTGCGTAAGTTTGCTCTTCATCCCAACTATCTATATATATAAAAATGAAACCCGTTTCGCGTTGTCACGGCATCACGTGTGAACGGCTGAACCGATTTCGATAATTCTTTTTTTTAAATGTTTGTGGAAGTCCAAGGATGGTTCTTACGGAAAAAAATATTAAGAAAATCTCTACGCTAAGGTGGTACGAAGTTCGCCAGGTCAGCTAGTAATATTATAAATGCGAAAGTAACTCTGTCTGTCTGTCTGTCTGTCTGTTACGCTTTCCCGCTTAAACCTCGCAACCGATTTTGATGAAATTTGGCATAGAGATAGTTTGAGTCCCGGGAAAGAACATAGGATAGTTTTTATCCCGGTTTTTGAAACAGGGACGCGCGCGATAAAGTTTTTCTGTGACAGACAAAATTCCACGCGGGCGAAGCCGCGGGCGGAAAGCTAGTTCAAAATATAATTAGGAATGTTCCAAACTCGTAATAATTCTAACCACAAGATTTTCCCATTAAGTTTTTTGCGGATTTCGGTCACGTTCCCGCCGCAAATCCGTTTCTGTGCAATCTACATTACATAATTATGCGTTTATTTAAACGCCACGAATATGGAATTTTGATGTTATAAAATATAGCAAGGAACCAAGTTGAAAAACATAAAATCTAGACCTGTATTCGTGCTTTTAAAGCTCCCTTTAAGAATTGAAACTCCCCCAAAAGGTGACTGTAACTTACATCAATTTATTTTTGTAAAGTCATAATGTAACCCAATTTATGTTTTTTAAAGCTCTAGACTTATAGGACTAGCGCTTAACTTAATCAGTACCTGAGTTAAGAAGACGGCACGGGAGGGGTAATTTTGACATAATTTATGACGTGACAGAGCATACAAATCAAAATAAAAAACTAAGTCGTAGCCAAAATAAAAGAATAGGAAGAAGTCTCGCCGAAAGACGTAACAAAAAACACCCTCGAGTGCCGCTCCAATACCTCAGACACTAAATATATAATATATACTTAAGACTACACTATAGACTTAAATTATATTATATCGCAATAGGTGGATATTTTTAAGCCTAAAATAAAATCACTATGACTCAACATGCTCGGATGAGTGAGTTAATAAATTCATATGAACGTTGACCTGAGTTAATTCGATTAATTCCGAACTTTCCACTTACTAAACAAACCGAAATAGGTGAGTTCGAACCCCGAAGTTAGCCAATTAATTAGCCCAAATCCGGTCTATACCATGATAAATTAATTCCAATTAACTTGCCCACTATCCTTTGGCATAGCCATAACTTTAATTTTATTACCGGAATGGAGGCACACCCGGGAATACATAGGTATCCCCGCATAACGCATTAGGCGTTTGGTTTAATTTAATAAATTATATTCAATGCTCTCTCTAATATGAAACCGTTGAAGTAAATGACGTAGGAAGTGATCGGTCGACTACGATCGACTACGAGACTACGGTGCTACAGATTTACAGTGCTACGAAGCTACGAAAAAGGAAATGTACCTAACTTTTACCACGGTAATTAGTATTACCGTGCTTTTACCTTTTTAGTAACTGGGCATTCATGATTTTGACTTTTCGTCATGTAAATAGATGTTAATATCGTACTTGTATTTACATACAGTAAATAACATAGCATATATTTATAAATGAAAAATCAAAGAGAAAAAGCCTTTGACGTAATAAGAAAACACCCTTACCCCGATTCGCGTCAGATTGTATCACACTACAGATGTCAGATAGTCTGCCGAAAATATATTCGTCAAAGAAACTGGGTCGAGGACGAATACGTAATAAATATAATCGGTGATACATGTAACCCTCGGTTCACTGAGTCGCGAACTGGGTGACAGGTGGGGCCAAACGGGCGGCTGATGGTTTAATCTGAAATTAACATAACGGGGGTTAGTGTCGTGACTTGTGAGCCCGAGGTCCTGCATTACTGGCTCCCGCAAAACTGGACGTGTGTGTTCACACGACAGTACGGTGTTTTGTGGTACGGATGTCAGCAAAAAAATTATGCTGGAAGCTACAAGTGGGAACTTGCATCCTGTTTTTCACTGGTCCAGTTTAATGACAAAAACCAAAATCCTATACGGATTGGTTTTTGCCAGACACTACAATCGCAATTCGTGTGAATGTTTAGTATTAAAATGCTTATAACTAAACAGGATCCTGCAAAAAACAGTACCTGCATAAACGGGATGTCGCCTTGGTAAAAAGCCCTTAATCCATCAAAAATCCAAATCCATCAGCTGTTGCGTAGCGTACTCTCTTCATAACTACAGGCAAATTTTATTTGCAAGTACAAGCAAAATAATTTATTTACATACATTATGAATACATTTCATCACAAATTCACAGTATATTGAATTGGAAGCTTTAGAAGTCAGTGTAATTTAAAAGCTTGTTCTTAAGATCGTTGAACATGAATATGATGGCCTTAAATCTTTTTTTTAACAAACGAAGGACGTTACATTTGAAAATATTGTTGTTATAAGATTTATCCATACCATAACACTGTCTAAAATTCTAAAAATGCATAACAAAGAAATAAATCACCATGCATAAGCCTAGGCACAAACCACCGAATTTCAGTTGGCCGATAGTTGGGCCCGATTCTAAATCGGCCGATACCAAATCGGTGTAATGTGCGCACTTTCATACATCTCCGTACTGATCAACAGCCCAACCCAACTATCGGCCAACAAAATCGGTGGTCTGCGCCTAGGCTAATTAACTAGCTCTCAAGCCCTGGTAAGACCTAAGTCGACAGTTCCAAAGCCAATCCTCAACACCATCAAAGACAATGAAGCGCTTTAGTAACGACAGCCTGTAACGTCATGTAACGTCCTATTACAGGCGTTGGGTATTCCAATAGTTGTGAGATACGATTGGGATAGGCAAATTGGCTACTGCTTAAATTATTACTAGCACTTAGCACGTGAAAGCTCACTTAACTTTTCAAGTCTTGCAGTTTTCCGTCCAAGATTTTATTTGGACACATAAATTGTGAGATGTATGTAGGTAATTCTAGAACTGTGGTAAAAAAGTATCCATGCCATGACAATTACAGTATCCAAAAGTCTTTAGAAAATGATGACGTTAATATTTTACAACATTTATTGAAAACGCCCGTTTGCTGCTTTAAATAAAAGAAAAAAACATCTTAAAAACCGTTTCAGCAGTGATTAAGAATCTCATTTGCCTACAGTCCTGTAGGGATAGAATTGTTCCAAAGAAAAAGTTGCTTGAAACAGAGACAGATTAGTCGAAGTTCTTCAAAGAACTTAAAAACTTCTTCATGCGAATCTTGATGCGGTCTGCATAGTTAGAGTTAATTAAACTAAGTACGGACGGCACATCAAGTTAAGCACTGCGGCTCTTATTGCTGTTGAAATAAGAGCTATTGTACAACAAAAATACGTTGTGTTGTAGACTGTACACAGCACAAAAACACGTCTGCTACGAGCACTTAGTATTTGTCAAAGTAGTCTTTCAGCAGCTGCTATAAAAGTAGGTACGGTACGTATCTACGCGTGGACCCCGTTTTACCCCCTTAGGGGTTGAATTTTGGACCTTGGACTTACTACTTACTTAATCAACGAACATTAAAAATAAAAGAATTGGTAAAATTGGTCCAGGCGTTGTTGAGTTATGCGCTTACCAAAACACATTTTGCGATTCATTTTTATATTATAGAGTAACTAATATATTTTTACTTCGAATATAACAGCGCAAAATACGAATTACCATTACTGACTCGCTTTGTAGTCCCTCGATGTTTAACAAATTACATACTGCCCAGAGAAAAGTTGTGATTGCTTTCCAACAAAGTTTAAATGTTTATTTTGATATGGATCGTGATTAACGATTTCATCTATCATAAATGTATGCAAAATCAGAAATAATATCTGGCTATTTTTCAGAAATGTAAACAACACACTGTGAAAAGGAAAGTTTTTATTTTTCATGCTTATTTAAGCTACTACTTTTCAAATCAGATTAGTCTTTTGTAAATTGTGTAGGCGGCTATAAGAGTCAGGGCACAACCTGTCATCATCACCAGGTTGTTGAAGGTACTATTGGAGAAGCAACTCTTCCCTTCGCAGACCCCGTTCCTGAAAGAAAAATTTTTTCAAAATCATTTCATACGCTGCCATACCGTTAATTTGCGTGGTAGAGCTGTATTTCTTTGCGAATCAAAAGATTTAACAGAGTCGACTGTAGGTATTTTAACACTATAAACACTGGTCAGGTGGAGATTCTTGGATGGCTTAAACATGGAGTGCAGGTGCGGTTTTGTTCCCCAGTCGATGAAGCACATGTCGTGCCCTGAGTGCCCGAGCAACTGCACTCAGGAGGATTACATGAATGCTGCTGACAAGGCCACTCTTGAAGCGGAGTTTTGGGCTGACACTGTGTAGGTTTGTTGTTGACACGATAAGAAGACGAACACTATAAAGAATAAAGAGTTTTTGGTAAATTATAGTAAAAAATCTGAGATTAATCAGAGAACAAACCTAATTTTGTAAGCGCTATAAAAATACAAGTTTGTTAAGAACTTTTTAGCATCAGTAATTTTCTGCCGTCATAAAAGCATAGGATAGGCTTTTAACTAGGTTATAGCCTAATAAGTGTCGGAGTTTTGTCGACTTATCCTGGATTATCGCTGAAGTTATATCCCAATTTAAAGTTAAACCTTTCAAATAGAAATAAATAGGGATTTCAAAAATACAACGTTAAATAATTGTTAACACTTGTTTGTGAACATTGCTTGTAAATATTGCTTGTATGTAAATATGTAGAAATATCAATAAATGATCGCAATATCCACGAAAATAAAAATGTAATGCAATGTCCATGGAAAAATTTTAGCGTTTAATTACTTATTTTTTCAGTCACTAAAATTTGATTTCGCTAAGATGAAAAGAGACAAAATAATTGATAGTAATAGTAATTTATCATTTTTTTGTAGTCTCCTTGCAGTCATACTTTCAAAACTTTAAACATCCACATAACATTCCTTTTTAGGCTTCATAAATTCAAAATAACTGACCTTAAAATGAAGAATCCTATAACCAATCCCGTGGCAGCACAGATGCCATAGAAATACAGGTCCACAGCTACTTCCAGCAAAGCTCTGATGATGCCTTCTATAATCTTAAACACCAGCTTCACCAGTTCCACCGCCAGATGGACGAACCTGTCCATAAAAGGACGAGAAGGCCTTCGCTCTGAAAGAAAAAAAAAACATAAGAAGGTAGGTGAACCGCCGATCTGGTGAAAGTCAAGGGAAGAACCTGGGTGCGGGCGGAAAAGGATCGGGCGTTGTGGAAATTCGTGGGGAAGGCATTTGTCCAGCATTGGACGATATTACTCTAGGACATGGTATTTTTCTTCACGACTATACAAGCGTAATGTAGACCGTCTTCCAGTTAAATAATGAAAACGATAACCACTTGGCTTGTTGCTTCGCGTGCCAGATAAGAACGTACTGTTGGATTTGCAACGAGGCCAAATTATTGTGCTCCTCACAACAGATCACTTGATCTGTCATCACTTATAACACTTTTTTCGTGTGCCCTTTTTAGAAATCGATCTGAGGATATTTCCAACTCAACAAATAGAGCTACTGAGGCATAAAAATGGATAAAAAGTGTAGGTATATCTGCGAAAAATTAATAGGAGACAAAACATTGTGAGAGTATGATTATACTATTTACTTGCGTGTACAATTTTCATTTTGATTTAGTTTGATAAAACTTCATCATATTCAACAATATTTAACTCACAAAAATCAACTATGAAACGTAAACAATGTTCCTTCAAAATGTGGCATAGATAATTTCCCAATGTCAATCAAAAATAATTTTAATATAAGAGGTTGTATTTAACATCTTTGGTTGCATGCTCTTCTATCTATTTTCAGACTAGCAAATAGCATGCAAATAATGTCTTGACCGACAATCTGTGGGTCTAGACAAAGTGCAAATTATAATCGCAAACCAGTCGAAAAGTGGTCGAAAGCCCTTTTATTGTATGGAGTTTTGACGGATTCGATTTTCGATTCCATCAAAAAGTGCATTATGTCTAAGGGGGCTGGTGAAGGTCGGAGGAAGTACCTGGATGCAGGCAGCGCAGGGCCGGTCTTTGTGGAAATCCTTGGGGGAGGCCTTTGTCCAGCAGTGGACGTCCATTATGAAACGACCATAATTATTACTCTTAGCTTTCGAAAGACTGGAAGTTACCAATACTTATATTAGTTCTTATTACGAGTATATTAAATAACTTCAAGTTGGTTTATTACCTTCCATTTCAATCAACAATCAAACAAAGTTGATCATTGAATACAGCTGGTAGAACGCTAAACTTTTGATCGCTTAATTGTTTCACCTCAATCCCCTCCATTAACTTTACTATGCCGATTACTAACTTCAGACTTCAGATTTCAAAACCAACATTAAAACGGTGTTTTCAGTTAATCGCCTGCTTTTATGATTCGCAGACATCAAAGTTGTATAATTGAAAACCTGAAATTAAATTTCAGAATAACCTGAATCAACATATTCTTACGTTACTCCATTTTTTCTTACCTGGCCTGGAATAAAAAACTTTGCACTAATTATTTCTGTACGCACTTACAAGTATCATAAAAAGTCCTAATAAACAAGTTCGACATATATACTTTTGTGTTATTTGTAAGGAACTATAAGTTTGTATGTATTAAAAGTTACTATAATGCGATGATTAGATATACGAGTATTAGAAACGCAAGCTAGCATGGTACCTAATTGGTTTTCTCTTATAATTTGATATATCAGGTATACCTACCTTGCGAGAAAAGAAGTTCCATAAAGACATTGTTTCCAAAATAAATAGGCAATTCATATAACTTTATCGGCTATATTAAACAGTGTCTAGTCTGCTTAGGTCGTTGCCCAAACGCTTTGTGTAATAAATACATTCAGGAAACTCTTTAGGTTTCTTAGTAGATTGCTTAAAGTTAGATCTTTAGTATACAAAATTCTAGAATACTTTCCTAAGAGACTCGTAATGTATGGAAAAGTAGAGATCGGTGATATGGATAAAAGAAACATGGAATACAAACGGGGAATCCCAAGGAAGTATTTTAATGTAAAAATGTTGTTGTAACAGCTAATGCCGCGCTCAAACACTATTAGTCCCGACTCCAATTTGCATAATGGGATGGTGAGATTCTTTTCAACGATTGGGAAAAACGTGAAAGAAATTTACCACAAAAGAAAAGATATGAGAAGACCCTTTATATCTACCAGCGAAGATACTTTCAGAAAATGTTCATCGAATAGACACACCAAAACTTATTGTGACTCAATTATTATCAAGCAAGACTTGCATTGGTCATAATGTGGGATCATATCCGTCATAAATACTGGTTGCTGTGACTCCTGTAGGGTAATTCAAGTGCAATCTGTCATTTCAATCTATTCTATTTGTCATTTAGCTTGTTTAATCTGTGCTGAATAAAGTGCACAATATTTAAGCAGGATATGGTTGCACGCGGATTTTTAGAGAGTTAAATCTTTTGGCCAATAGAAAACGTCATAATAGTTATTATATGAACTGGGATTGGTCAATGACTTTTGAAATTAAAATCCGATGGCCTGAAAAAATCGGTTTTCCAACAAACGTCAGTTACGCGCAAGGAGGTTTAGCTATTTATCCATCGAAGTTAATAAGGGAGAAGACATAAGACTAATTTTATTATTTGCCTGCCGCGACCCGGTTTTTACGAACAATGACGATGACGAACGATGAACCAGTAACGAGGAGCACACTTAGCAATGCTTCCAGGTTGCGCCTCGGTATCAATTAAGTAACATTTTCCGTTANCCACTACGAAACTTTTTTCTTCATCTTTCTTTCGAACAAAATCGATCCTCAATTGTTTATGTTTAGTGAACTTTATTGCGCTATGATTTTCACGAGTCAAAATTTTAATGTTTTTAACGCCATCACTCAGCGTATCCATAATTAATTAATTAGAATTCCACCAAATTCTCTAAATTACCTAGTTACTAACTACTCGGACCTTCTTACTAACTTACAACCAGCAGATTCGTTTGTTCTAACATAGCCTTGCGAAAATAAACATAATGCCTTATTGAAGTAAGCCAAGTTACTGTTCCTGTGTTTTCATAGTTTTTCCTTGGAAGATCATTTCCGAAGTGGAATCAGGTTGGATAGAAAACCAATTTTTGCTAACAGCCCGTTCAACTAAACAAACAAGACTGTACCCAAAGTTTTGCAAAACAAAGCCCTCTTACAACTCCGGTACGGGTTGTCACGCTCCGAAGTTTTTCATCCTATGGCATTATGTTATTGTGTAATAAATATGTACATCTTAATTTTACCGTAACATTTAAAGTTTCTAAATACAAGATTTTGTTGAACTTGAATGTTTTTGATGTTTACTTTGAATGGAAAATAAAGTTAATAATTCAGAATGAAACACTTAAAAAGAGTTCAGGGACGTTATATTGTGATTTTTTTCTACTATATCCTATACAAGCATTTTTTACACTTCAGGCTAGTGTATCCCCTAACTCCTTTCTCCTAGCACGTGTAAGCGCAATTAGTTAGTAGTCCATTAATATTATGCCACAAGGTGGGTTTATCTAGTAATTGATTACTTGAGTAGAATCTTTTATTCATGAACAGGACTACATTGACGCTTAATAAAATAGATTTCTTCATAATATTTTTTGTCGTGTCAAGAATTTGTGAGTAATCTATTTCAATAAAAATGCTATGTAAGGTACTAGGCAGAGGTATGGAGAGAAGAGATTGGAATGTTACGGTGAAATTTAATTCAAAATGAGGAATAAGTTTTAACAATCATTTTGTACCAGTCATACAGGATTTTGTGAACCTTACCTCATGGGATTAGGGGTCAAGATTTTGCAAATGGTATCAGAGGAAAGATTTGTCAATGGGTGTTCAATAATTCATGAATGGGACAAGGGATCGAGTTATTAATTGCTTTATTATACGAGTACTGTCCATGTTAGGGACTTAGCGTGGAAAGGCATTCGCGGCATTGAAGGGTTGTATAAGATTTATATGAGTGTCCTTGAGGTGAACAAAAATGTTCCAAAAGCCAAGGAACGTTTTCGCCATTTTGGTACTGATCTGGACACATTTCAAGATAATGGTTCCAGGACCTTAATCTGTGACATCCAGAAAAATGGCATAGAATGAGATTTGCTGACTTTGCAAAGCAATTCGAGTAGGTAAACTATTACTCAAGTATTCTTTGAGGCTGGTGACTTTAGATCTCTTATAATAAATTAATATCACAAGATAGGACCAAAGACCTACCTAATGATGCGATTCCAAATGTTCATTTTTCAGTGGTCACATGATTGCCTGAGTTTTTATTTTAAAACTCATCTCGTTAGTACATTTTATGTCATTTCGTGTCGTGTGTCTATTTGAAAAGTTTATCTAACTGAGTTCTATTTGAATAATAGCATTATATCCAACTCGACACAAGAGACTGGACACACGTGTGTTCAATTGGTAGGGGTCCCAACCCTGGTAGGGGCCATATGCTGGTGCTCATACATTCATCATTCTACCCATTTAGATCTATTGAAACCAACGAAATATTTTGGTAATAAGTTTAATTAACCTGACAAAATGGGCTCTAATGTTTGTATTATAATATTAGTTTGTTTAATCACATTAGTCTTTCTTAATCACTTTAATATTAAGATCTGTCGAGAGAAAACACAGTGATTTTACTTTGGACCAGTCTTTAGCCTTAGCAACCAAGTGAGCATATAAGTAATACCTGTCTCAATAAATAATTCATAAGAAAAGGTAGAAACCTTTCAGTTACTCGTATTCTGCTACAAAGAAATTATTTGTAACCGTTTATAATAACTCTGAAAATAATATAGTAGTGTATTTACAAGTACTTTATAGGAGTTGAAGAAAAACTGAAGGGTTCGCAATGATTTCAGGAGGTTTATTGAACTACAGGAAAATAAATAAAAGTCCTCAAACTTCGGCTACCTAGTACTTGGTTATTTTGTAATTTAAGTTACAGCTCTTGAAAACCTATCTCGGATTTTATTAAGTTTACAAGAAGAAAGCGGTTAACTTTGTGAAGCGTCATAAACAACTACCTAAGTGAAGATTTAATATCACGGTTTAAGGGAAATTTGATTTGGACTGATATACGAATACATCCAGTGAACGGGAAAAGCAATGAATAAGTTCAGTTAAAGAAGTGTAAATCATAAATTATTCTTCCCCTACCTGTCATGTTAAACTACACCTGTTGTTTGTTAGTATTTTAGTTCTTCGTACCTAAAATATGAAAGTACATTTACTTTCTAGTAATTTTTCAGGCTCAATGGACAATGGAATTTAAGCCAACTCTATCACAAACAAAGCACACGTAAATCTAGGTTTCAAAAATTTCTTTGTTCATTTATGTCACAATTTCCTTGTCGTTTTATCATCATTTCACTTCTTCAACTGTTGGAGTGCCGCAATGTTACGTATCGATCTAGACATACACTATCACCGGCTTTTTTCATATATACCTAGCTATTCGTTGATCCGTCGAGCAAGCGTCCTACACTATTTCCACTACTAAGTCGGTTTGCTTCTACATAATATTTTCGTTCACCCATCTTAATCCCCGTGATAAATGTGTATAGCGTTGCAGTAGAGGGATATCATTCCTTTAA